CCCCCCCACCCCCCCCCCCCCCCCCCCCCCCCCCCCCCCCCCCCCGAGCGCCCCCACTCCTCTCACACAGAGACTTTTTTTTTTTTTTTTTTTTTTTTTTTTTTAAATATGCCAATGTGAATGATTGACTTTTGCTTTGTTTGCACAGCAGGATGCTGTTCTCATTCAGGTATCTAGAGGAATTTAAAGCGATACTGTACTGTAGCAGAAGTAGCCTAAATTGTGATCTCTGGTAGCTCGTAGCTGTATGAAAAATGCAAGGCGATCACTCAGTATACTCTCAGTAGTTGCAGCAATTTAACCTTTTTTTAGAGCAACTTTTATCTTGCAGCGCCTCACAGGATGAGCATCAATATTCAATGCAACGTCACATTTGTACCTCTTCTCGATGACACTGTTTGTTCACCTCACTTCCTGTTCATAATTTAGGCTACGGTCCCTTAAATCTGCTAGACTGTTTTATTTACAATGTAGCCTTGAGAATTTATTGTTATAATATGATAAACTATGCATTTATTCCACTGTGTGTGTCTTCATTGTGACTGCCATCACCAGATGAGGTTTGTGCCATGTGGTGCCGCTTGTATGCTGACAGACGGGACATTTCACTGGAAAGGCCAAGCTGACGTCGGCTTTAGTGTTCAGATTACAGGTTTTTATGCCCTTCCCATCCAGCGAAAGCTACGTCTCTCCAGATGTTGGTTTTTGAATGTGGTAAACTAAAGGATGAAGTGTTCCTTTATGAGTTGAGCAAATCCTCCTACTTCTTTAGCTAAATAAACTCTTTAAGAAGCCTCTCGGTTCAGCTGGAAAAAGCATCGTCACAAAGCTGAAAAAACGGGCTGTTTCTCTTTTTCAGAGATACGAGGTTCTCACAGCAGAAAAACCCAACTACCCAATAAAGGAGTTAACTTGAGCCCAAGCTTGGACATCTACAGTAAAATGTAACAAATATTAATGCAGACGCAATATTAATCCATAAACATCATAGTTAAACAAAGACGGGGGACATTTTACTTCACAATGAGTACTTTTACTTTAAGTCATTTTGGTACTTTATACTTTCTTTTAAGTACGGTTTTGAAAGCAGGACTTTTATGTTTAATTTAGTATTTTTGCAGTTCTTTTACTGAAGTGAAAGATCGTAGTAGTTCTACCACCACTGAGCTGTAGCTCCTGTCCGACAGAAGGCTGCTCTGCATCTAAAACACATTCCAGTCACGTCGCAGTTCGGAGGCCTTAAATGGAAATCAGCTTTGTGTTGATTCAGCCGCTTAGAGTTAATGACCTCAGAAGAGTTCATGCATCTCGGTTCTCCTACAGTGTGAAACTGCAGTGCACATCAGATGGATGGCATCTAGTGCAAGAGGACGGTTCACAAAAGAGTCAATCCACTGCAATATACCGCTCTAATGATACGGAATATAATAAAAGTGTGATTTTTTTGTGAAGATGGTTAAAAAAAATGAATGCAGAAGGGAAATGCATTCATTTTGCTCTGAGGTGTGAGGAACGCAGCAGGGACCGAGGCTAAAGGGTGGAATGAAGACCCGAACAAAACAGCAGCAGTGCCAGCAAGGTAAGAGAGAGGGGCTCCATGTGAAGGTCTAGGGCCTTTACATCAGGAACCACTCCGGGCCCAGTTGAGGCTCCTGAAGCCGACGGCCCAGATCCAGGACGACAGTGAAGAGCGAGTAAGTAAAGGACACGGGGACACCTAGTGGAGTGGATGGGTTGGCACATGTGCCATGAAAGAGTATAGTTTAATAAGAGTATATGTCATTAAAGATATCAGTTGATATATGCCGTTAGTATATTTCACAGAAAAAAACATGAGAATTTGTCATATAGTATGTCAACAAATGTTATTAAAACAAATTCATAGTTTAGTATGTCTGTCATGGTTTTGGGTTTAGGTTTTCTGTTCCCTGCTTTATTTTGAGCTTCCTTGCCTCATGTGTCCAATGTCTCTTTGACGTCCCTCCTATCATGTGTTTCATTAGCCTTCTCTGTTCCAATCGTTTCCAGCGCCAGCTGTCAGCCTGCCCTCGTGTATAGTGACCTGTGTGACCTGTGTCTTGTCTGATTAGTTTCTTGTGTATTTATCTTCATCTTCGTCTTTTCCCCTGTCGGTTGTTAATTAGTCCTTCCTTGTTGCATGGACTTTTGTTTTTGTAACCTGCTTATTGTTCTTGCCTTTTTTTTTTTTTTTTTTTTTTTTTTTTTTTTTTTTTTTTT